CGCTGCTGCGCTCCCAAGCGGTGCACTGTAGCAGTGCACCACCGGGCCGGCCCTTGTTCAGCATTTTTACATTTATGTTTATAAGAAATATTGTTCCATCATTTTCATTTCTTGTAGGAGTGTTGTCTAGTGTTTGTATCAGCATGATGATTATTTGGAAGAGTCTCCTTTTTTTTGGAAGGATTGGCATTAATTATTTTTTGAACTTTTGGTAGATTTTACCCATTAAGCCAGCGGGCAGGGTCTTCTTTATTGGTAGAATTTTGATTACTGATTCGATATTTTTATTGTTGGCTGATGGGTATCTTACTCCACTTTGTGCTTTTATAAAAGACCAACACAGACTGGGTGATTTGTAAAAGCAAGAATGTATTTCTCATAGTTGTGGAGAAGTCCAAGATGAAGGGGCTGGCTTCTGGAGAGGCCTTCTTGCTGTGTCATCTTTGCAAAACATACATCTGACAAAGAATTAATATCCAGAATATACAAGGAACTCAAAAAAATCTTTACATCAAAAAACAAATAACCCAATTAAAAAATGTGTAAAGGAGCTGAATAGGCATTTCTGAAAGGAAGATATATGAATGGCCACCAGACACATGAAGAAGTGCTCAACATCACTCAGCATTTGGGAAATACAAATCAAAATCACCTTGAGATACCATCTCACTCCAGTCAGGATGGCTAATATCCAAAAGACTGAGAACGATAAGTGCTGGAGAGGTGCAGAGAAAAAGGATCTCTCATACACTGTTGGTGGGGCTGCAAAATGGTGCAGCCTCTATGGAAAATGGTATGGAGGTTTCTCAAACAATTGCAGATAGATCTACCATATGACCCAGCTATTCCACTGTGGGAATATACCCAAAGGAATGGAAATCATCCTGTCGAAGGGATACCTCTACTCCCATGTTTATTGCAGTGATATTTACAATAGCCAAGAGTTGGAACCAGCACAAATGCCGATCATCAGATGAGTGGATACGGAAAATGTGGTATATCTACACAATGGAATACTACTCAGCTATAAAAAAGAATGAAATGTCATTTGCAACGACAATGGTGGACCTAGAGAGAATTATATTAAGTGAAACTAGTCAGGCACAGAAAGAAATATCACGTACTCACTTATTTGCAGGAGCTGAAATAAATTAATAAACATACAAACAAAGGGTGGGGAGGGAGGAAGACACAACAATCACAACAATTCCTTGAACTTGTTAAGACAAGTGAGCAGATATGATGTAGTGGGGGGGAGGAGGAGGGGGAGTGAAGAAGAGGAAGGATAGGCCGGGGGCCACTCCTCAGCACAGATCCGCTTCCACCTCCTTCTTCTCCTCTGCTTGGCTTTCCAGGTCCACGTTACTACCTACAAGGACATGAGCCACCAAGTCAGGGTGTGCTGCACCTGAAGCCCCTGTCATGTGGTCTCTCCCAGTTCCATCGCCGTGGGTGAGTGAGGCAGGTCTTCATGGCTTCCCAGGGAAGGGTGTGTGGCTGAGAACAGAGCTTCACGTGGTCAGAGCATGTCGGAGGTGAGTGACGGCCAGGACCACAACCAGAACCAGAGGTCTGGGGCCACCTGCTGCGGAGACCCTAACACACCCTTCCTCACCTCTTGCTTTGCCAGGGTTGTGGGGTACAGAACCAAGCCCGTTCCTGCACCGTGCTGTGTGCCTCTCTGCCTCCGTGTGGGCAGAGCCTGGTGACAACTTCCCACAGCCTCTGCAGGGATCTTGGGCTGGCAGGACGAGAGGAACAGGGTTGGCCTTGGACCCCCAGACCTGCAGATGCTCCCCTGGACCTTGTCATCCTGTTTTGCTTGGCCTGGAATTTTCTCCCTCATGATTCTGGAGAAGGGCCCTGCCATGCCAGGGAGCTCAGAAGGACATTGTGGCCCAGGGAGGACCTGCAGACACTCTGCTCACAGCCACTCTCCCTGTGACCCCCATGCATCACCCCCCAATGCCCATTCTCTGCTCTTAGCACTCCACAGCTTTGCTCCGACAAATCAAACTTTCCAGGGTTAAAAGGGCCTTTATTCTTTTTTAGGTAAGTTTTGTTGTCCTTGCATAGGATTTTTCCCACAAAGATTCTTTATTTTTAAGTATCCTCATATATATTTCAATTTTGTGGGTGACAGTTCCTGAGACCTCAGGACTCCAGGGAAGAGGGTGCAATGATTGGGATTGCCTCCCACGGCTGCATCTCATTTTTACTTCTTTAGAGAAAAATGAACACAGAGGATGCTGAAGAGCAACAGGAATGAGGGTGCTTTTCCCAGAGCCTGCCACAGAGACCAAGGCTGTGAGCCACCCCCTCAACCACTGGCCATTTCCAAGTCCTACAGAGAATGGCTGGGCCAAAGAAAAAAGCCTTGAGCTCAACATGAAAATAGCTAAAGGTCTACACCGCCAGGGCTGTTACTTCTGAGCTAAGACAACCTACCCCACCCACTAGTGAAAGTGGTTTTATGAAATCCAGACGCAGGACTCCCTTCAGGATTTCTTGTAGGGCTGATGGTGTGCTGGTGAACTCCCATGGTTTCTGTCTGTCTGTGAAATACACTATTTCTCCTTCATAACTGGAGGAGGGGCTTACTCCATATAGTATTCTTGACTGGTGGTTTTTTCTTTTAGAACTTTAAACATATCATCCCATTCTCTTCTGGCCTGTGCAGTTTCTGTGGAAAAGTCTGCGGTTAGTCTGATGGAGAATCCCTTATTTGTGACTTGATTCTTTTCTTATGCTGTTTTTAGGATTCTCTCTGTCTTTGACTTTTGCCAGTTTGACTACAATGTGTCTCAGAGAGGAGATTTTTGGATTGAATGTGAGGATTTTTGAGTCTCTTGGACCTGGAAGTCTGTTTCCCACCAATACCTGGGAAGTTTCTGCTGTTATTTCACTGGATCAGTTTTCAATGCCCTTTTCTTTATCCTCCCCTTCTGGAACACCCATGATTCGAATGTTTATGTTAGCACACCTATCACCAAAACAGTTATCATTTCTTTGTGGTTATTACATTCAAGATCCTCTTTTCAGGCTATGTTGAAATATGCATTCCATGCTCTTGCATTGGGAGAATTAATATCATGAAAACGTACATACTACCCAAAGCCATCTACAGATTCAATGAAATCCCCATCAAAATACCAATAGCATTCTTCACAGAAATAGAAAAAACAATCTTACCCTTCATACAGAACAGCAAATGATCCTGAATAGCCAAAGTAATCCTGAGGGGGGGAAAAAAAAAATCAAGCTGGAGGCGTAACACTGCCTGACTTCAGATTATACTACAAAGCTATAGTAACCAGAGCAGCATGGAACTGGCATAGAGACCTCCATAGCTCGCCAACAGCCTCAGGCAGTGAGTATGTCTGCCCAGGACCCTGTGGGCCTCTACGTTACTTCACTGTGCTTCTTTATAAACATTCCTCATCTCACTTTCAACAGACCCCTGGTAGTTGTGCTCCCACGAGAGGCCCTTCTGTGTTCTTCCCTCCTTGTTTTAGTTACTGTGTGTGGTGAGGCGTCTGATGACGTTTCTTACATCTGGCTCTGACAGCTTTTGAGTGCCACCCTTCCTTCTCACCCTCCTGCTTCCCATCAGGGCAAGCTGGCAAGAGCGCCTGGTGCCCTTCTTCTATGGTGGGAGATTCTAACCACTGAGCCCTGCTCCCTTCAGGAACTCTCACCCTGATCCAGCCACATAAACACAGAGCCTGTGTCATTCTCCTTTTCTGGCTCACTCAAGACAACGCGGGCCTGCTTGAGGGTCGTGCCCTCTTCCTACCGACATCAGCTATGTTATTAGAAATGTTTTTGTATCATTTTGGCATGTATGGCCATCACAAGAAACAACATCTCAACCTAAGTGTGGGCGAGGGCCACCCCTGCCATGTGGGGAGAAACGACAATTGAGCATCAGCCACCAGCATCCTTCTCTTGCTAGGTGGCCAGCAGGAGCTTCTGTCTGTGGGGAGCATGTCCTCTAAGTGACTGGCTGCTGGACAGCCTGTGGGTCGGGCCACGCTGCCATGTGCCGCAGATGCTGAGGTCCACCAAGTCTCTGTGATATGATTAAATGATCCTAGTAAGAAGTTTTGGTAATTACCTTTTGAGAACAGGAATATGAGAAGGGGCGACACCTCACAGAGGCTTTTGGTCCTGTGTCTCAGCCTGGATCTCTCTGTGTGTCTTAGTGACTGTGTGTCTCCACTGGATGATAAGCTGTGACAGTTTTGATGGTACTGATTTCAGGAACCTTATTGAAGAAACAAGACAAGCGGGATAGAGGGGACCTCCTGCAGCATATCCAGACAGAAGAACGAGGAGCAGGAGGAGGAAGAAAAAAAAAAAAGAAAAAAAAATGTTAACTTTTTACCTCCTTTATTTACACTCTGCTTGTGTGCACTTGAGAATATCTTTTCTGGTTACAATGAATGTTTTTAAATCCACAGATGTTAGTGGCAAGCACAGAGTCATAAACTTAGATAAGCTTCCCAGAAAAATGGTAAAATAGAAAGATAACTCAAAAGTCTGGTGGGAAAAGAGCCCTTTCCCTCTGCTCTGCACCTGCCCCAGAGGCCGGTCCCTTCTACTTGCTGGTTCCACATACCCCTGTAGGGAGGTTTGTGTCTGGGCTCCCACTGACTTCCCCTCAATGTGTCTTGCACAGAATACACAGCCATGTCCTCAGTGGTCACGGAGCTCAGCTGCGGTGAGTACTGGTACTTTCTCTGAGATGGAGGATTGCCCTTTGCAGAGGATGTGTGGAATATATCACCCCATCACATGTGTATACCCCTTCCCTGGGGTGTGGGGAGCCAGGACATCAGTGCATGTGTAAGTGAACCCTGAGCATCTGAGAGGAGCAGAGTGGCCCCTCCAGGCTCTTTCCTACAGTTCTGGGACACTCTAGAGGCCCCACACTAGACATTTGCAGAAGTCCAGGGACGACACCTGTGCTGTCAGTCCTCCATGAGACATCATCACTGTGTCTCAGGCTGTGCTTACAGTTGGATTACCCTGGGAAATGGCCAAAATGAAAACCCAGCCAGGAGAACTTCCTCACTGGGGCCAGCAGGCTCCGTCCTGGGCAGCATGTGTAGACCTGCTGGGACTCTTTCCCAAGACTGTGGAGATGGGGCCCTGCACACTTTTATCTTTGGTGAGGTGGGGGTGCTACATGTGGCCAACACAGAGAGAGGGCAGAGGCCCTGAGCAGGGCCAGGGGCCACGATGCCTGCAGTCCTGCAGCTGCTCAAAGATGGGGGCGGTCTGTGACTATCCCCATGAGAGCACTTTCCCATTCGTGATGGTCCAGACATCCTGATGGCCCACACCTCAGTGCTTGGTGAACCTGGCAGAAAACACAAGTGTAGGAATTTACTGTAGAATATAGGAATACACAGGCAGGTAGGGTAACCTGAACAGGATTAGCAGTCACCTGAAGATTAAACAAAAAAGAGTGGTGAGAAGATGAGACAGATGCAATATTTGTAGAGGTGATGGCTGAGGGATTTTCCTGGACAAAATTGAAGATATTACTCCCCAATTTTAAGAAATTCTACAAAAAGCTGAAATTCAGGGTGTGTGTCAAGACCCCCATAAAGCACATCAGGAAAACATGAATAAAACCAGAATGTCTGGTAACCAAAACAGAGAAAAGTATTAAAGGTTCAAGATAATTTTTATTAATTTCAAATGGATTAGGATACAAACTTAAATTAGACTTCTCATCATGAATGTTTGTAGCCGACACGATGGAAGGAGCCCTCCAAATAATGAGGGAAAAATTAGTGCTAGTCTATAGTTCTGCACCATGCAACTTGTCCTTAAAAATTGTTTCATTCCAAGGAATGAGTTTTAACTGAGAACTTGTTTAGAGAAAAATCAAGTTAGAGTTTATTATCAGCTGCCATGCACCAGAGACAGCAATGGTAAAATATAATTTCCACTAAAAGGTAAATGGTGCTGATTGAAGTGGGGGCATGAAGAAAGACAGGAGGAAACGCGAAAGAGAGCAGGAGAGAGCAGGAGAGGAGGCCAGAGACAGCAAGGGACAGGAGGCAGGACGGGAAGGATGGGGAACTGGGGCGAAGTTACAGGGTTCCAGTCCGACAGCGAGAATAAGTGTTGGTGCCCTGGGGTGACAGTAGATAACATACTGTAATGGGTACTTCAAGGTAGCCAGAGGTGCCGGTCTTGACTGTTATAACCACAAAGAAATGACAAATGTTTCAGGGGTAGATATGCTAACTCTTCTGATTAGATTATTATCCAATAATAATATTATCCAATAACTATCCAATACCATTATACATTAATAATATTATCCAATAATAATGAAACAACAAATGGTGCCCCATAAACATACAGGATGGAAAAAAAGTAAATTAAAATACAAATAAATGTTGAAGGGATGAAAAATATATTTTGCTGTATATGTTTCTAAAAAACAGGTGTAACATCAACAAACAGAACATCAGTGAGATTTAGGATGAGAGTTGGATCGCGATCAGGTGCACTACCCCCTTGCACTGTGTAAAGTGTCTGCAGAGGTTGACAGGTCAAATATTCTCCTGCTCTTTTCAAAAACACTAAAGAGAAAGTAAAACAGTATAAAATTAGAGGAAATGTGGCATGATGCATAATAACATGTCAGTCATGAAAAGGCAGAATTCAAAAGGGGATATACATGGGATATCAGCACATGGAAGAAAAAGTGTCACCTGATCCAGCCTTCAAAGTACAGCTGTGAGCACTGTGTAAAGTGTCTGCAGAGGTTGACAGGTCAAATATTCTCCTGCTCTTTTCAAAAACACTAAGGAGAAAGTAAAACAGTATAAAATTAGAGGAAATGTGGCATGATGCATAATAACATGTCAGTCATGAAAAGGCAGAATTCAAAAGGGGATATACGTGGGATATCAGCACATGGAAGAAAAAGTGTCACCTGATCCAGCCTTCAAAGTACAGCTGTGATCACCTGACGTTCAGAGAAAGCGGCCACATTTGCAAGACAAAAGGGAAATATTTATAGTTTGAAAGACAAAGTAACTTCTGTTTCTGATTGTGGCTCTGGATTTTCCCTCCCTCTTAAATAACGACAAAATTGTAAAAACTTTGTGAAATGCTTCTTCTCAGCCTCTGGACACCAGCAGAGGGCCCACTTGTGTCTCCTGCTGAGAAGTGACCTGCATATGCACATGAGGAAAGCCCAAAGCCAGGAAAGACCCACAGGGAAGGGAGAGAGAGAGCAACACCAGGAGCTCACACAGGGTGAGGAGAAGTCTCTGTTCCCAAGAGATGGTGTGAAAAATACTCCTAATTCAGGCAGATCCAGGTAGAGTTCTCGGAAGGCTTCTACAGAGTCTTGGAGAAAAACTGACCCTGCAGTAACTGCTGATCTGGTGACCCCAAACAAAGCGCCAAAGCAAAATACAAAAACATCAAGCTGTTTCCAAACACCTGAACTAAGATCAGAAAAATACATGTACATTTACAGGGACGGGAAAGAAAATCAACACCCAACTGGGTAATATTTACATTGTATACCTTCACATGCCAAAGAATGAGGAACTGCGACCCACAGCAGAGAGAAATATGAACCCATAGAAACAGCCCCAGTGTGACATGGGTAGCACAATTTGTAGACAAGCTCTAGAAAATGTAATAACTGCACGGTATATATTCCAGAATCATAGGAAAAGACGGATCGTGGTAAAAGGACTCACCCTTGCCCCCTCTCCCTTTTCCCTTCCAAGTGAGCACGCACAGACGTGACCCTTGCTCTTATCCCACCTCCAGCCCAGCTGGCATATGGCCCAGGCACCCCCACTGCCACGCCCTGGGACTGTTGCCTAATTCCCTCTGGTTGTCCAGGTAACCAACATGGGCTGGGATGCTGGGGCCTGAGGGGCCTTTGTTCTCTGTCACTCTCTCCTTGGCAGGGAAGGGGCCACTGCAGGCAGCTCAGCCCTGGCTCCACTGAGGACACTCCCTTTAGCCATTCCCTCCAGACAAACACTCCTGAGCTGGAGGATGAGGCTGGCAGAGGGACAGGTCATCCTCAAGGCCGCCGTCTGGCTGCTCGGGTTCTGGGCGCTCCTGGCTCCAGTCCAGTCTTCTCAAGGCCGCCCCTCATGGCGCTATGTCTCCTCAGAGGTGGTGATTCCTAGGAAGGAGATGCACCATGGCAAAGGCGTTCAGGTGCCAGGCTGGCTCTCCTACAGCCTGCGTTTTGGGGGCCAGAGACATGTCATCCACATGAGGCGCAGGAAGCTTCTTTGGCCCAGACATCTGCTGGTGATGACTCAGGATGACCAAGGAGCCCTGCAGATGGATTTCCCCTACATCCCTCCAGACTGTTACTACCTGGGCTACCTGGAGGACATTCCTCTATCCATGGTCACCGTAGACACGTGCTATGGAGGCCTCGAAGGGATCATGAAGTTGGATGACCTCGCCTATGAAATCAAACCCCTCAAGGATTCCAGCAGGTTTGAACATGTTGTTTCTCAGATAGTGGCCGACACCAATGCAATGGGTCCAATGTATAGACTAGGACACCGGGATGTCATAGACCCCCTCTTCTCTGTGGCAAACGCCAGTGGGGCACCCAGGATCTCTAGCACGTTGTATTCATCCCATGAAGCCATTGTGAAAGGACATATACAGGCTGCCAATTCAATCTATCGTATATTCAACAATGTTACATCATGTGTAACGTATTTGATACGTATCTCCAGGCTACTTGACAGCTTTTTACATAATTTGCATTTTGGGTATTATTTTTATTTGATGACCATTTATAATCAAAATGATCCAGTCTCCTCCTACAATGATTTTAGAGTGCCAGGAAGTCCAATGTATAATTATTATAAGCAAGTCTTTTTTGATAATTATCAGCCCCATTCTTCAGTAATAATCATTAAAGATAGACCACATGAAGCTGACTTTGAGCCGGATGATTATGGCCTGTGCTCTGCCACTGGCCTCATCTTTACTGGTGAACTAGGCAGGCATTATTTATTGTTGTCTATCATAGTAACCAATCAAATTGGGAGAACTATTGGCCTTGCTTACGATTCCCCAGATGACTGCGTATGCCAGAGAAGGACGTCCTGTATCATGTTCCGATTCCCTGGACTGACGGACGCGTTCAGTAATTGTTCTTATCTGCATGTTCAAAACATAGTAAACCATCGACGCTGGTGCGTTTTCCATCAATCCCGGCGTGTTTTAAATGAAACGGACGTTCGTTGTGGAAACTATAGAGTGGACAGGACTGAGCAGTGTGACTGTGGCTCCTTCAAGCAGTGTTATGACACTGCGTGCTGTACTAGTGACTGTCAGTTAACACCTGGAAGCGCCTGTCATGTAGGAGCTTGCTGTACGAACTGTACCTACTCTCCTATTGGGACTCTGTGCAGACCTATCCGAAATATATGTGATCTCCCCGAGTACTGCCAGGGTGACACCTTTACATGCCCTGACGACTTTTACATGCAAGATGGCACCCCGTGCACTGAAGAGGGCTACTGCTATAAAGGAAATTGCACAGACCGCTCTATGCACTGCAAGGAAATCTTTGGTGCACATGCTCACAACGCTGATGAGACGTGCTATAGTATAAATACAGTAGCCAACAGATTTGGCCACTGTTTTAGATATGAAGAGTCCTTCACTTATGGTCGTTGTGACAACAGAGACAGGATGTGTGGGAGGCTGCAATGTACGAACGTCACCCACATTCCCCGATTACAGGAACACGTCTCGTTCCATCACTCTTTAATAGACGGGGTCCCCTGTTTGGGGGTGGACACACACCGTTCGACAGGGTCATTAGATGTTGGACACGTGAGAGCGGGTACACCCTGTGCTCCTGATATGTTCTGTAAAGATAACCATTGCAATGAGACGATGAGTTCACTGAATTACGACTGTGTCCCTGAGAAGTGCAGTTTTAGAGGAGTTTGCAACAATAGGAAGAACTGTCACTGCCATGTGGGCTGGGACCCTCCACTGTGCCAAAGAAAGGGTGCTGGTGGGAGTCAGGACAGCGGACCCCCTCCGAGAAGAGTGCGCTCGGTAACACAGAGCAAGCAAGCATTGGTATATTTGAGACTGGTCCTTGGTCGTATTTATGCCTTAATAGCTGTACTGCTTATTGGGGTGGCCACAAATGTGCGATCTATAAGTACCACGACAGTTAAGGAAGGGACATATTCTGAGCCTGAAGGTAAAAAAATAAGAAATACTGAGCCTGAATAAGGGATAAGCCCAGACCCTGTGAAAATGTGAAGATTATAGAAAGATCATTCATGAATAAGAACCAGGAGAACTGATGGCAAAGCTCAAGTACACACTTGTTGAAGTCTGCAGGAGACATGGGCCTCCCTCATGTCACGGGTGAAAGGGAGGCGCTGGCCTTCTGACACCGTCCTCCTTGACAAGGCTGAAGCTCAGTCTGAAATAAATCTCTGAAAACCACTCACTGGTGTCTTCTGCATCTTTGTATAAGCCTTTAGGAGCCCACACTGAGCCTGGGCCTCTGGTCAGGGGAGGAGACCTGAGTCAGCAGCTGGGTCTTGACGTGAGGTCGCTGGTCCCACAGTTAAGGGAAGTCGTCACCAACTCTTTTAAGGGCACATTCAAGACATTTCTCCAAGCGTGTGCTCTTGAGCACTGAGGTGTCCTCATTCCCTAGGTAACCTGTGCTTCTCTAAACCCACCTAGATATATCACATCACCTCACCTTCAGTATTTTGCCCACAGAAAACACTGTTTTATATTTTGCACTATTATTCACAGTTGTACAAAAGCAAAATACATTTTTGCATAAAGATGACAGGTTTATAAAGTATACCTTTTAGGCCATGTAGACCAGATTGCCCCATTTTCAAACATTCAATGTTCCTTTAATTATAAATATAGTCATCTATTCAGCTTTTCAGGGCGATGTAATGCAAACATGACCAAGAACAAGCCTTGAACACAGTGGATTCTACAAACTAATCTTTCTTAGTCTGCTAGGAGCATCTGTATTTACCACCCAGCTGTTCAAAAGAGAAGAAAACCTACAGCCTGTCTCCTTCCAGATGATGAAAGTTAGAAGTCGTTTCCCCTTTCCAATCCAGTCCTAACAGGAGGCAAAGAACTGATGTAGGAACTTGAGGACAACGCCAATCAATGCACACACGTGCACATGCGCCGCACAGGAAGAATGCCTGTGGCTCCACCATCCGCAAATAAGATCAAAAGCATCTAATCATTTCCCCCCAAACCTCCACACACATATACAGGTACTAGGAGACCAAGTGGAGAGATTAAAAGAGCAGGTTAAATGTAAGCTCAAATATACTTTTCAGTAATGTGCAAAAATATATCTCTAGTGTTGATACTCTTTATTGGAAAGAGATTTCCTACTTTTATTTGTTTATTTTTTACTTTCAACCTTCAGACTGAAATAATAATCACCCCATGAGCAGAAGAGTAAAGTCACAGAAAGAAAATAGCTACATTAGCATGAGAGTTTAGCTTTAGTTTCCATTTGTGTGGTTAAAAACAATGATTGGTGGTTGAAAGAGGAAGAGGCTGTTGCTGAAATCATCTTGTGAAAGACGTGCCCATCCAACCAGGTTTTTTTCCACAGAAAGCGTTAATTGCTTTAAGAGGCATGTATTTCTCATGTTTGAAATGTCCTTAAACTCAGGTGGATCTAGGATTTAGTAAATGAAATGAGTGACTAGGCTGGGAACTTTTGGTCCAAATTGAGCTGAAACTACTGAGAGACTCTGGTAATCTTATTACAAGGCTTAAGCCGAGTATAAAAATCACTTCAAAGCATTACTAAAGGTTTCGGGTCATGGTAGGGCAATCAAAATAACAGAAGTTTCTCAGGTTGATGGTTCCAACGCAAAACGTTTGGAATATTTATGTCTTATTTCTTTCTTCAGTCCAGTCAACTTGGCTTCCAATGTCCCTTCCCCTGCTTAATGTTTGTGAACATAATCACGTGTCAAATAAGCAACATGATGGCAGACACCACGCTAGATAGGGATGGGCCTTGTACTAGTTTTCTATTGATGGTGACAAAGTCTCTCTTCTTGGGCAAATTATATTCAGGCTCCTCTGAGCCCTCTTCTCGACCTCAACATTGGGGTTCATATCTGTTTCTACAGAGGACACACATTTCAGCGAGGATCCTGCTAAGTCAGATTGCAGAGAATGTGCCACCTTGACACCTGACTCCTGCATGTCTGATTTAATTCCTCGTCCCCATCTCGATATGTGGTCACACAGGGCTGCCTTCAGCAAGACCCTGTTAGTGGGTTACGAAACCCTTGCCACCAAACCTCGTATGTCTCTTATAAAATAATTTTTACTATTAAAAGGGCACAAATAATAATAAAAAAAATTACTTTTTAATTTTTACTTTCTCACTGATTCAACATTTACATCTCATTGACTGAGTCATTCTCAGAAGGAATCACCTGCACCAAGTGCTGAGCTGTGTCGCCAGCAGTCTCTGTCCTCCTGCCTTCCTTCTGCTCGGTGGGTGCCCTTCCCCTCCCAGGGGACCACCAGGTGCTCGGTCTGCAACTCGCAGCCACACATGCCGTTGTGCTGCCTAATGTCAGCACACATGCTCTGACACGCCCCTTTTGTTGGTGTTTTTTTGTTTTTATTCTTTTAACTTATAAAGAAACAAAATTTATTTCTTGACATTTTGGAGACTAGAAAGTCCAAGGTTGAGGTGGTGCATCTGATAAGGGCCATCCTCTTGGTGGGGACTGCAGAGCCCTGTGGTGGCACAGGGCATTGCATGGTGGGGGAACTAGAGCATCTACTTTTTAAAACATTTTAATTTTACTTCTCAATATACATTGTAGTTGATTTTCATGCCCCTTTACCTGTTCCTCTCCACCCCCCCATCATATCTGTTTACTTGACTTAAAAAGTTCAAGGAAGTTTTGTGATTGTTGTTTTAAAAGCAGTCTCTTTTCACAGGATGCAGTGACACTCCCTGGTCACCCAGGCACGGTGTGGTGGTAGCCCTGGGTCCATCGCTTCCCGAGCTCTGACCCTCCAGTGCAGGTCGGACAACTGAACGTTCCGGTCCCCCTCGGCGGCACCTGCCGCTGGAACTGAGGAAGACACAGAGCCACGACAAACTGCAGGCCGTTCCGAGTCTGCTTGTGCAGCGTGGTTTCTAGCGAAGCTGGCGCACGCAGTTACGTCTGCACCTGTCCAGCTTCTCTCCAATCAGTGAATGTGTCATACACGGAGGGGCGAACATCAGCCTCGAAACAGCAAAGCCCGGTCAGGTCCCCGTCCGCCCACCAGGGAGCTGAGCGTTTCCTCCTCTGCATGTGCTGTCACCTCGGGACGACGACGACTGCGTCTCTGGGATGACAAACCTACGACTGGCCTGGGCGTCCAGTGCTGGCTGGTCCTCTTGTCAGGGTGTCTCCTACCGGCCACCAACAGGAGCACAGACAGGAGGCCGGCAGCCTGGACAGGTGACGGGGCTGCCTCCCTTGTGCCCAGGGCCCTCCCGGGGACCAGGGCCTCTGAGTCCCGGCACACCCTCCTATCCTCTCCCCAAAGCCTCGGCCTCACAGACCCTGCTGTGCTGGGACTTCCACAATGTGCTCGCCAGGCATCCCCCGTCCTCAGAAGCTCAGGACCCCTGAGTGCCTCATCTATCTCCCCTGGCACCCCCTCCTCCGTCCCTTCCAATGTGTCTGCCACAGTCCTCAGCCACCAGGAGGCCAAGTTCCACATGGCCTCAAGTCCATCTGTCCCAGTTCTAACCATAACCCAAACCCTGCTGCGGACAGGGTCCCGCACCTTCCCCCAGAGTGGCTTCTCTCTGCTGTCGCTCCCACAGCTGCTCATTGTCAGCTCCGGAGAGTCTTGCTTGGTCCCTTCCCAGATGCTCCCAGCCTTGTCATAGGCACCACCCCACAGATGATGCTCCAGCCTTGGGGGTGCTCCCTGCCTTATGGAGGACTTCGCCTTTGCTGTTGTGGGCCTCCAGGACACTGGCCCTGTGGCTCCTCACGATGTCCATGGGTGCCTGCGTGGTCTTTTCCACGCTGTTTCACTTTCCTGAGGTCATCTCTCTGCCAGGACCTGCCCTTCACTCCAGCTCAGCCCTAGTGAACACCTCTTACCCAGGCTTTCCCAGGACAGTGGCTGCCAAAATTGCATTTTCAAACACCGACTCTGTCCTACCTCCTCCTTTCCTGCAGTGTTTATCCCTCCACACTCCCTGCAAAGCCCACCCAGTCCATGTGGACTTGCGCGTTCTCCACCCTTCCCTGCTCACTCGGCCAGCACGAGGGCCCTGGCTTCTGGCCTTGGCACAGCTAGTCCCGTCCCCTGCCTGTGCCCTGTGCCCAGGAGGTTGAGCACTCCCTTCCCAGAAGAAATCCCGCAGGAAGGTGCAGATCACCGTCGCTCCATCAGAACACGTTAACAACATGCAAACATCTTTCCTGTGACCTAGAAAAAAATCAATTTGTTGTGGCTAAAATCTCCTTTTTCTCTTGGGTGGAACACAGACCAATGAATGTTTATTTGTTTTGTCTTTTTACTTTGTATTTGCATCTTTTGAAAGAACAGGCCTTGTCAAGGCCCACTCTCCCCTCCTGCCTCTATTAGCAGGAAGTGGATGTCTGGGGGCGCCTGTGAGGCAGGATCCCCCCAAATGGCACTCGGGATGTCTGCTCTCACAGCAGCAAAGGGAGTCCCTAGTGTCCTTTTCAGGACAGAAGCTGATTCAGCTCTCTGTGATGGGTCTTGAGGTCTTCACGGCTGCTCCTTAGGGGCACCCAGGGACTAAGTATCAGGTGGAATTAAGCTGGCTCTTTTCATGCCCAACTTCAGGTAAACATTGACCATATTTCTCCACAAGTTGACAGAAAAGTAACCAGAAAACTTAGCCTTCCTCTGCTGCCAGAGTTTGCCATTTCCAGGAGCTGCACTCCAGAGGGCCACAGGAAAGGGGGGCATCACCTGCAAATCCACTCATCTCGCCTCTAGATCATCATGGCTTCCCTCAGGCTGGAAAGGTGCCCCCTTTCCCTGGTGGCCCACTCCCTGCTCTGCTCACAGGTGCCCAGGACCTCCCTCCTTTCCTCTCATGGGTGCAGGGCTGGGGTGCAGGGCTGAGGGGAGCTTCTGGGGAGAGGGCCCCTTTTGCTCTGGATCAGAGGTCCTGATGAGCTCACTGTACCTGTGCCTTCTCCCTCCAGCTTCAGGTC